CCAAAACATGGTACTGCCCAAATTGCAGAATGTTACCTGAATTCAAGCACTCAAAAGGCAAGTCCCAATCAAGCAAGAAAAAAATAGCATCTTCTAAAGCCTTGGCCCTGGATATCTGTATATGCAAGAGCAAGGCAAAGAATACAGATAAGCTTATTGAGTGCCATAACCCTGTGTGCAAAAATGGAACATTTTTTCACTTGGCCTGTCTAAGCCTTAAACGTATGCCAAACAATGCTAATTCCACATGGTTATGCCCAGATTGTAAAAAGAATCAAGCACAATCTAATAAGAAAAAAGGAAGTGGAAGCGTCAAGTTTGTCAAACAAATCCAAGGAACCAACAGCAGTGCCAGTGACAAACAAAAGCCAGTAGGAAAGCTTACACAGTCAGAGTTTGACCTTATTGCATCTCCAACAGGATGGTTAGACTGTTCTGTGATCCAAGAAGCACATGTACTGCTTATGAAAGTCAACAGCAGTGTAAGTGGTTTCCAAAGACCAACCCTTGCTCCTGTCAGACAGTTCAGTGTTGTTACTGGTGATTTCATTCAGATAGTGCATTTGAATAACAATCACTGGGCATGCTTAACATCTATTGGCCGTCTTCCTGGGTATGTTAACCTGTTAGACAGCATGACATCACCAATTTCACAAGAGATAATCGAGTTCACGAAGAATTTGCTTGGTCCAAATTTCAAGAATATCACTCATATACCTGTACAGCAACAGCAAAATGGGAGTGATTGTGGTGTGTTTGCCATTGCATATGCCACATGCCTAGCCTATGGTAAAACTCCAGTTGTGAAGTTCATCATTCCAAGGACGCGGCCACATTTGCTGAGTTGTCTTAAAGCTGGTCATTTGACACTTTTCCCTACCACTTGAACTTCTTGAGGCATTTATTTTGGAATAAAAATTATTGCTTATTTCTTTAATTCATGAGACATTTATCTCTAAAGGTTTAACTATAAGAGTTAATTATGAAATACAATGACCTAAAAAAGTTAGTGTTCATGCTATTAGAAAATTTCAAAAAAGCATTTGTACATGTCATGATACTTAGTCATATACAAAGATTTCTAAAGATAGATTGTGTTGGAGTTGCGATGAAAGTGTGCATGCCTAATTCAAACTTTCACATGCCTACATGTATTTCACATTTCCATCACAACTTCAATGATCCGCCTTGACCACATTAGTTTTATCCCACGAAAACGTATTGATAAAATGTTCAATAAAACTCAGCCCTCCATACTCAACTGAAACACGCTGTATGTTAACATTTTAAAAAGTATTATGTGTAGTAATGCATCAAGGGTAATAGTAACATTTGCTGCATTAATTTACAGAGAAATGATTGTGAGCCCCAATTCTCATTCAAAACATGTTACATTGTCTANTTATAGTAATTTTAGTATTTTAGAATTCATTTATGTATTTTTATTGCGCATTTTTGATTTGTAATCAATCAATTGAATAAATAGTTATTATTAATATTATTATTAATACATATATGTATATATGTATATATATAAATATATTATAAACATATATAAATAGTAGAAGAATCGTGTATTATGTCAACCAAGAATTGAAATAAAGCTTTAAAAAAAGAATTTCTGGAAACTTAAAATAAGAATTCCACGGCAGAAAATAAGCAATCTTTTTCAAATTGTAGTGTTCTGACCAGGAATTTCTTTCAGGGGGTCAAAGGGCCTACCCATTCCGAAATTTAGGGGCCATATAGAAAACTGGATGGGCCATTTTCAAAATCTTAAAACAAAGAATAATAATGTTTTAAGCCTGTAACTCTCTTGCAAATCTACGCGGTCCACATATTCTCAGTTTTATTAGTAATGACAAGATAATAAAATTTCGCTGTTACCCATACTTGAGCCTTCAATAAACAAGATCAGTTAAAACAGACTAGTCCCAGACCTCTTGGTGAAATATAAGATGGCGGCTGTTTGATTCGTTTTGTGTCATGTGGACTTTCACCTTGTTTATTGACAATCATAGATCACATAAGTTGCATTTGGCCTTTTTTCGCCATACTTGCTGTGTGTATTCCTTAAATATGAGGCTATTTTTTAGTTATTTTTGCAATTCAATTTAAAAACAGGGATTTTCTCCAAAATCAAAATAATTTTTGGTTAAAACTATGTACATTCATGCAAATTAAGGCAGCTTCAAATACTAAGAAAATTTCATATTCCCAAAACTCATTTGTTAACTTTTCATATATTTTAGACTTGATGGTGAAATAAATAATAAATATCTTAGATGATTTAATGCATTATACCCAATTTTTGCATAATTTGGACTGGACAGGAAAGTGTCTATTGTCCTCGTTGTCTTTAATCCTTGTTTGGGTGGTGTTCTTTGTTTGAACTTTTGTTTCTTAAGTTTCTTAAGTTTTTTTTTGTTTCTTAAGTTTCTTAAGTTTTCTCAGGCCATCTTTTTGTTAAGCATTTAAATAGAAATAAAAGCTTCGGTTTTGACCCTAGGGTTTTTGCGATGTTCAAGCTTCAAGCAGTGTTTTGGTAAATTTACATGGCTTGGGTGGCAAAACTTTAGTGACCCTTTGCTCTTTTGACCTCCATGTGGTTCGCCACGTAGCCCCCAATATTGTCATTTTGTTGATAGGGACGAACGATCTTTCTCTGAGGTTGTAGGCTCGGCTATTGAAGACTATTGGTCCCAGTGGTGTATGTTTGTCAAGTCATACCACACGGTGCTTCACACTTTAATTTATCCTTATTTTTTGAGTGTGCGCTTGTTCTTAATCAATATGTGCTGTCGTCTTAGATTCTTTTCCTCACTTTTTTTGTTGGCGTCATAGGGATTTTTCTCATTCGGTAAGTATGTTTAATTTACAAATAGCTTTACTTTTATTTGGTATTAATGGTCTGCCTATCTCCATTTTATTTTGTAGAACATTATGCCTTTCCCTAAAYGGTGGAATCAACCTTCTCAGACCTCTAACATTTCTGATGGACCAACTATAAGCGGACAAGACGTTCCACCCTCTTCACCACCACCACCACCTTGAGATAACACAGGCCTTCCAGACAGCATACTGTAGTTGCAACCATCGTTAACAGAGTAGCTGCACAGATAACAAAACAGTTAACTGACAAAAACAAGAGCCAAGTAGAAGAGGACAATTTCATCCAAGAGTTGGGGATGACATTGTCCCCAGAGGAGGAGTGACGACTATCCCGGCATGCATTGCGATTGATACTATATTATCAAAAATTTTGGGACGTCATCATTGATTTTAGGCGTTGAACAGTGAAGCAAGATGGCGTCCTTCAGAACGGTTTCTCGTGTCGATATATTGTTTTAAAAAATTATTCGCTTTTATACATTCATTGTATTTCGGAAATGGATATGCGAATTCAAATAGTTAACTTAGCCTGTCTTGAGCTTATCAGCCGAGAGATCCACGTTAGTTTTGTTCATAATCTTGCTGAAAGAAGAGTTGCTCTTACACCTCAAAACAATGGTCGTCAGAGTGTTGAATCTCTGTTTGGAAATGTCAGTAGCCCTGTTCTCRTCTCTGTCATTTCAAGCTGTAATACCAAGGTAAGCTCTTGCATTTTAAGTGTGGCTATTGAGTATTGTGAATGTTATCATTGTAAGTTCAAAACCACTCATTCAATCGTTAACATAATGTTTAACCTTTGTTGCATTTCTAGGTTTCAGTTAAAAGACTCTCAAGAAGATCAAGAATAATTGGACGTGACCCTAGTGTGGGACCTAGAAATCATACCTGCTCCCGGTACATGCAACATGCAACCTGGCTATTACTGACCAGCTGCTACCACCGTTGAATTTAGATATCTAAACCTCTTGCAATAATTGTTTTAGAAACAATCATGGTTCTCCACAGTGTTTGGTAAATTTCAAGATATATAGAGAGCCAGAAGAAGACCCAGTAGCCAGACTTCTCGGTGACTTGCCTAAAGAAGTTGAAGAAGAGCAAGAAGACCAAGAAGTAGGCACCTCAGATTCAGAAAAAACAAGAAGTAGATCTAGACTACCCAGAAGAGAATAATGCCGATGCAAACTATGTTGAATGTTTCAAGATCGTTGGGTTCACACTGCGAACTCAGACATAATAATGGCTTGTTGTTTGGTTTTTCGCTGCTTTCAAAAATAATCAGTCAGTACCCTTTATATATTTGACTGGTGCAGTGAAAACGCAAATTGGAATGGGCAACTTGCTACTATCGAGTTTGCAGAATTTTGAGACTCCCAGTAAATAATAGTCCACCTGCAAGTTTAATTATGACATCATGAGTTTTTGGTTAAAAAAGACAATAAAGAGAAACTCATGCTTTAATGTGTCCCATGTATTTTTTTATAATAGACTAGTGCAACATATTTACGAGTTACTTGCTCTTCTCTTACAATCACTGATATTTACAATTAAGCTTGTAAATAATTTTGAAACTCTTAAATGGTTTGACATAATCCAAATGGAAATATTCTAAAAACTTTAAGGCAAAATGGGTCTCTTGGCATCTTTGAGCTGAAGTATATGAATTGTAAATTTAAACAAGTTTTGTTAGTGGTCTGCACTATAACAAAATAGCAACAACTAAACACTTCTGTTGTTTGGATTTGGTAAATCAGCAATAGGTCTGTGGATGCACTGACGAATGCTTGTTTGGTTTTGTGCTGGAAGGAAAGCACGACCTGCAACAATGATGGATGCAGGACTGATATGTAAGTTGTATTACTGTATTATCTTTTCTCAAGCTGACTTCCTTATATCAACTCTGAGAGCTCACCACTTTTGCCGCACAGGAAAAGAGATGGCAGTCCTTCCAAACGGCAAGGATGACAGATTCAACGCCAAAGATGCGGTTAAACGAGGAGCCCAGAAACTACAAGTGCTATTTGTGAAATTGAAGACAAGTGTGGCCCTATTCATGCTGACAACATACAACCGGAGCAAACCCCAAGAACATATGAAGAGCAATCTACAGCCTGTGTCACAGGTGCCACTAATGAAGTACCCCCATCAGATGCGTCAATGGAAGCAGAGACTTCTCAGGAAGTGGTAAAAATATCCAGAGCCAAGCAGACTGGAGAAGCAATTCATCTTGATAAAGTAGAAGATCCTGAAAAAGAAGTTATGGTCATGGGTGTAAACAAAAGACCCCTTCTTTCCACAGGCGAATGCCCCATGTGTGGCGAGAGAAGGAAGCACCTCGCAACCAGCAAGCCAGGGCATGGCTGGTCTTCCGAAAAATATGAGTAGTGGCTTTTCCAAAAAGTCAGAACGGCATCGCATACGTGTTTGCCCCGCAAAGAAATGTACCTGGTCAGGGGTGAAATTGGAGAGACATCTTAACGTCCATCATGACATTGATATTGAAAGTGAAATGGCAAGGTTGGAAGCAGAGTAAGATCCTCAGTCTACTTACCAAAGTATTGGAGCAGCAGGACTGTAAAGAAATGCAATGGAAGAAATTGTAAGCAAGCATATGCAGGGAAGACAACATAAACAAAAGGATTTCCAGCTTACTAGTGCCAGTAGTGTTTCAAGCATATCATCATCACCAGAATCTACCAATAAAAAAGTTCAAAAGATTGTCGACTACGCTTCTTACTTTAACAAAGGTAATTAGTTACAAACTACATGCCATCTACACGTTACTGTAATTAATGGGATTAAAATTGCAAAAATAAACGAAAGAAATTGTGATTTGATTATGTAGATAAATAAATACTAAGGAAGGAAATGTATTTCAAAGCTTGAAACTTTTAATCGTTGTACACAATACTGTACGGCATACATATACAGTGTAAATTTACAGAATTCAGAATGACTACACATGTATTCTGCACTAACTACAGTTATGTGCACAGTAAACGGTGTAAATAAATTTGGATACGCTATGTACAATGTACGTTATTTTAAGGACGGTGGCCACTAATTCACACGCCCACTTTTTTTGCGCATGCCAATCTGATGTGTATTAATTGGCACAGGAAGCCCGCACGCTGTTATTGTTTTCCTGGGAAACGCAATATTTTAGTCCAGGAGCTGAGGCCCAAAAATGGGGTTTTTCTCTCCCCTCATCACATAAAAGGTTTGACAACGGATTTTAAGAGATAAAGACCTGCTGATTAACGCTAGGTAGTTAGTAGAGTCGATTTGTGGTATTGATCATGAGTTATAGGGGTGTTTTGTGACGTCACTCAATATTTGGAATTAAAACGAGGCCAGTTACTTTCTGTAGGTTTTTGG